GAGACGGAACCGTACCGTCGTTACGATTGCACGAAAGGCTTCATTAATTTTTTCGAGACTCTAAAACACAGATCAACAGCTACAAATGTATTTTATAATTGTCAAATGTTGATTTTCAAATTTTGATATACTCAGATTTAACCTTTAATTGGGTTACTAATTTTGCAAATGAAATGATATCTTGGTATTAAAGACAATGTTGTTGTTGTTGTTGTTGTTGTTATTATTATTAAATGCCGCTTAACGAATGCACCCAAAGATCCTATTAAGGTTTATCCCTCAATCCTATTTAAGGCTCGTTCTTAAGAAGCCTCTTATGAAAATTCTTACATTGACCATGTAACATAACCTTCTTTATGATTTACCTAATTCTGAACGCCTTAGGAGGCGTAGCCTTTGACACCACGTTATTCAAAGGTCGCTGCTGAACTCTTTCAACAAAACTGGAGCTGCTAATAATTTTTACAAGTCTTGTACAATTTCAAATTTAAATATAATTGTTTGATCGATAACCGTTCCGAAGTATATAGATTGTTAATTGTCAAATATATTTTCAGACGAAGCACGATTTGGAGGAATTGGTCGACGCGATAAACGCTGGTCGACCACAGTGTCCGGTGGGCTTGAACACCCTGGTAATCCCTCGGAAAGCAGCGTCGGATTCAGCACAGCAGCAGCAGCCGTACGTTTATTTAAAATGCGGACACGTTCAAGGCCATCACGATTGGGGCCAGGAGAAAGATAAAGCGACGAGGAGATGCCCGATGTGTTTGGTGGCAGGACCGATAGTCAAACTCTGCATGGGAATCGAACCTGCATTTTACGTGGACAGCGGGCCACCTACGTACGCCTTCAGTCCGTGTGGCCATATGGCGACGGAAAAAACAGTCAAGTACGTATCGTAGCTCTAGGAACTAGTCCTGGACGACAAGGAGAAGTGTAGTCGACCGTTGAATTATTAAATGATAGTCACGAGGCAGATAGAGATCATTATAATTGTATTAATCCTTTGTACAGATATTGGGAGAAGGTTGCGATACCTCACGGAACAAATGGTTACATTGCCATCTGTCCATTTTGTGCTGTACCTTTGGAAGGCACACCGGGATACGTCAAACTGATCTTCCAGGATAACGTCGATTAGATTAGATGGACCACCTTGAGATTTTGGAGAATTCCTGGAGGAAGGTACGAAGAGTGGAAATTAATTAACGAGTAATTAGAGAGAGATCATCGTTCGATCACTTAGATTCTATCTTGTTCATCGTTTGGTAACTTGGGAATCGCGAAGCTTGCCAGTCACACTCGAATTGTGTGAAGAAGTACGATTTAACGACGCTAGAGGCGCGACGTTCGATAATTTTCAACGTTTATTATAAATGAACACAACTTAATGAGCTTGTATAGTCATCAGTTTTTACTGTGATTGCTGAGTGACGTGATGCATTATGAGAATTTGATGATTGGTGTCAATGCAAAACCTGAGGGTTAATTGGTTTCGTGGTATTGGTAATTGTAATAGCATTGTGAGTTTTTGTTACGTAGAATGGCGTTAATGTAAATCGTATTCGAGAAACAGTGGCTGATGATTACTGTAATTTTGGGATTTATTTTCCTCCCTCAAAATGAGATTATGTGGCTAGAGCACAGCATTAATTTTCTATTCAGGGGCCACTTTTGTGTCGTGAATCATATGAAGATGGCCCTTTCAAAGTAAAATTAATGTTCAGGCTGCAGTACGTACGTATTTGATTAGTTTTGAAAATTCTTGTTATTAAAGTGTAGAACGACGGTTATGTTGGGTATGGTTTTTAATTATTATCAACAATATTATCATCAGTTTTGCGAGTAATTTAACTGCAGTTGCGTCTCTTCGTGTTAACTTGTACCTATATACGTTAATCCTTAGAGAACGGGCCAAGTTTTTTTAACGACTCTTAGAGTTTTTGACTCGAAATTTGCTAAAATGAAAGCGGAGGAACTACGTGAGATTCATGTAGAGCTGAAAAATCGGTTTCCCGTCTTCTAGAAGTTAAACATGTTTCCAACATTATTTTTCTTCTCTACTCTGATTTATCAAGATGGCGTTCAAGCACTGTGGTAACGTAACGAATTTGAAATACGAAAGTTATTCTTTCGATGACTGAAGTTGATAAACATATGTAGAAAGGAGGCTAATTCGAAAGGGAAAAGAATTCGTGCGTTTATGGCTCAAAAATCTCTATAGCTCTGTGAATATTTTTCAATAAGCGTGATTCACGTTCAGTAATGAATTTCATGTATTTGTTTTCATACTCAACTTTTACTAAAAAAAAGTGAGTCATTAACAATTGTAAGTTCGCCGTTAGATTTCGTTATAATTAATTCTGATGGAAACTAGAAATATTAATCTACTAGTTTTAATTTTGAATTGTACTTCTTCTAACGTCATAATTTGTTTAGACGCGTTTTTTTTCGTTGATCGAGCCATGAACGTTTGAAATTGAATAAATAAAATACTTTGGCCATAAGCAGAAGAAAGATCACTGAAGGTCAAGGAGTTAAAAAAAATGGGTGATTATAGTTCAACAAAAAGACTGTTAAAGGTCCTGCTGCACGGGCAAAAGTTTCTTTTATATAATGTGCATCTGGCAAACTATTATTATTCTTTGTTCGTGCAATGGAACCTCAATGTGTGAATAAGTCCTGTCCCATGGTTCGTACCTTGAATATCAATTTTAAGAAGTAAACTGAGTCTTTAAGTAGAAAGTACAATATTTTACGTTCAATTAAAAGTGAGTGACACATGCTTTTATTAATAAGGACCACGGGACTGGATATTAGTGTGAAATATTTAGCTGATTTGTATAGTATTTAAATATATATTTAAGCTGCGCTGGAAATAGCTTGGACCGATCCTGCCTTCAAACCCATGGAAATTCATGTCGATGTCAAACAATAATATAAACAATGCCTTAATTTTCTTTTGACACTTTAATTACCACCATCTCCTAGCATTACTCGATTTTCAAGATCAGCAAGAGGATGATCATTTAATTAATGCAACCTTTAATCGGACCCAAATATAAAATTCAAATACTTAACTTCTAAAACTGTTACGGAAGCCACAATGGCAAAGGAAATACGTTTGACGACAATAACGAAACGACATTTATTTTACAACCACGTATCACCTTGCAAGAGGTTCCTCCACTTCTTTGAAGGCAATATCGGCCGTATCGCTGAAAAATAACGATTTAAAAAAATTCTACGTATATATGTTTTGATACGCATCTAACCGTTCCATGCGATTCCAGAGAGAAAGGAAAATATAGCTCTAAATTCATATTTCTGTTCTTTATATAAACTTATAGGTATCTATATAAGTATAGTGCATAATGTAGAACGTGTATATACTTATATAAATATATAAATCTATACGGGGTTATTTCGTACAAACGGATCAATAGATGTTTCTTCTATCACAGAAATCAAATGGACATTCTCGAACTTCATTTGGTGCGTTTGGCCTTAATAATCCTGTGTACACGAACAAGGTGATTTCTCAATTTAACCATTGATCTATTGATAGAGACAACTAAAGACGTTTAAGCTAGAGTAATATCTGCTGTATTATACTATTTAAGATATTCGAACCTATCAAGGTATTTTTGGCTGCGCTCGAATTGAATTGAATTTTCAAAAGTAATAATGGTCGGACGGGGGTAGGGGATACATATATGCATAAGTTTACGGCTATATGATTATGTGTTCATGTGATTTTGCACTGTACGAGAAATGGAGTTATGGTTTACTTGAATTTTCATATTTTTCTTATATTCTTTATTTTCTTTGTAATGAAATATATTCATTTTTAGAATTGATTGACAATAAGTTCAATGAAAATGGATTAACTTAACGTATTGATGATCTTAGCAATTTTTAGGGTACTTGGAGTGTACTGGATTACAGTTATGAAGAATTTATGTTTCATTGTCCTATGTTGTGGAACTTATGATGAAATGGAAACACTTTTTTTTTCCTTCTTTTTTGTAAATTAGTAAATGGGATGTCGTGCAAATCAAATCTGTTTTAAACTCTATATGTCTATGTATATATAATTGCCCTTATCGATGAATACAGTAGGTTACAGGAATCATATAGGATGTTTGATAATGCTAAATGATTACGGTGTAAAATAGATGACCACTTTAATGATGCTGATGATGTTTCGATGAAGAAACTATGTGTAATTGTATCTAAATGATGATCATGAGTGTATGACATCCTTTTGAGATGATTATTTCGTACTGGTTTGATATCAATAGAAAGAGCAAGAATGTGGAACGATGAAATTCAATAAAATTATTTATTTATAGATGAAAGATAGCTGGTGTCCCATGAATCTGTGACGTCTGCACTTGGGGAGGACAAAGTGTTCGTTATGTTTCTTAATTTAATCACTGGCTTTGTCGCAGTGAAGTGATTGGTGAAATCTATATAATATTGCGTTATTATTTTGTCTAGAGAGATTTGAAGATTGTGAAAGGAATCGACGCGCTGAATATTATCATGCTGATATATTTTGTTTACTTTGAGCGCAGCCATGTTGTATAATATACAAAACTCAGATTACTGTGCATTTAATTAAGTCCTTCCATAACTTCCGTTAAGAACGCTGTCCAATTATTTAGATGAACTCTGTTATTGTAATACCCACAACCAACCGATAAATGCAATTGTTAGATAACACATTAGGATCATACAAAACACAAGAGCGAAACTTTTAGGAAAGATAGATTATATTAAAATATTTATATAAATGTAGATCTAATGTAATAAAGAACTTTAATTGTGAAGACGGTCCTTTAACATATAGATTAATATCATCGTTTCATAAATATCAAAAACGTTTTCATCAGCATATTATATTTCTTTTACATGACAACATTTGATAAAGGAAGGTCCTAAGAAAAATTTGAAATTAAATGCTTTTATTAGGGCCATCGACAAGACGAGAATTAAAAGATTGACTAGGTTTTATTATCAACTTGTATTAATGATTTACAGTTTTGGTTGATCAGATTGATTATAAAAATGGCAATTCCATGGTATACTCGGCAATGTAAATATTATTTTTCGAATAAATTCAGTGAGAACGTCTTTAACATGCTATAGATGAAATATATTAATGAATATTATTTGTTACATCTATCATTACTTTATATTTATATAAAAAGTTATTGTTTCTTCAGTGCTCACTTCTCGTTGCCATTATTTTTCTCAAACGCTCTACCCATTTTCTTTTAACGTCCCTTGGATCGTGCTGTAGAGACAAACAGTTTTAAGACATTCTGCCAATGCGTAATAAAAGACTGTCTAATTAAAAGTATTAACATAGAATGAAATAATGACCTGTAAAATATGAACGCCACGTTGTGTTAAAACAACAAGTTCCTTCATTCCATCGCCAGTCAAATCCATGTAACAAATCGAATGTACAGGAGCTTCGAATAATCGTTTCTCAGTCAAATCCCAATTGCCGTCATTTAATGTATATACTAAAATTTCTTGGCCATATGTACCTAACAGTATCTCATTACGACCATCCATGTTTATATCTGCTATGCAAGAACATACAACACAGTCAGACAATTCGCTACCAGCTAAAGTCACATCTTCGCTCACACCACGATGCAAAATATTCCTAATAGTTAAGAGAGAGAAATTAATTGTTTAATTCTTAAGTTTTCAGGTATAAAGGAATAAATGTTTTTTTACTCATAAATCTTATTTCAACGAATGATAGTTATTTAATAAGATTATATTGAGTAGATAGAAGTAAACTCACATGAAAACAACCGAAGGATTCACTGAATTGACGAGGAGAATGTTTAAGATAGGCTCCTTCTCATCGTCAACACTATCTATAAATAATTTAAATGAATGTACGTTGGAATGAGGTAAATATTATGGTACAGGACGAGAAAAATGAAAAGTTGGAAAGTGACAATTTGTTAATTAGAATTACCAATATCTTTGTCTTCGGAATTAAAAAATGCAGGCTTTGACACAGTATTTTCATGTGGAAATATCTTCACACTGGATATAGGATTATCATATCTTAGTACCCAACTTTCAATTACTTTTAACTCTTCTACATTCATTATTGCAATCTTGACTAATCCACACTCACAACCCACTACAGTTATTCTCCTATACATAAAACGTAATTAAGTTATAGACTGTATTATAGTGGAACGATCGAATATAAAATATTAACCTTGTAAAATTCTTGTAATAGTATATGTCGATGCACAATGCAATTGCTAGCAGGTTGCTCAGTTCTGGAAAGTAATTTTCAATAGCTGATTCAGCGTATCCATGACTTCCTCTATCTTCGCGAATCATATGTACTTCAAAATCGCTTCCAGACAATAACCAAACAATCTGAATAAAAGAAGCAACATCTACTTTAAAATAATGCAAATATTCTTTCACTAACATATTTCTTCAGATCTCACCTCATTGGATAAATCTTTGTGCGGTATTACTGTATGATATAATTGGTAAGGTGTGTATGATAATTCAACCATAAGACAATTTTGCGCAATTGCTTCTATGGAACTACTCTCGTCACCTTCCCCATCACCCTCCCCTTCAGTGTAAATATTTAAATATCTCTCCACCGAAGTCTCTCCGCTAGGTTTCAAGATAGTTATTCCTATTACAAATTCATTTCCAGTTTCAGACTTATTATATGCATCAATTGCAACAATTTCTGCTCCGCCTAATATATGCCAAAGAAAAAAAATGTATTTGCTATTAAATTGAACTCGAAACTTAGGAATATTGAAAGCTGCTATAATGAATATACAAACTAGGAATGTATGTGAAGAGTAACTCCTTGACCAACGGTCTCAGACTTTGCTTTGGAGTACGATGATACTCGCAGGTGTATATCTTTCTCTTCAACGATGCAACCAATACTTTGTTACAATTATTAGAACATAATTTAGTCATCGAGTAAATGTTCCCTTGCGATGCTAAGGAAAACCAGTGTGCATCTATAACGTTTTCCATGGTCCCAAGCTGTTGGCATAAAATACATAACAGTAACCATTACTAAATATAAAGAAAAAAAAAATGTACATCCAATTCTGATGCAAGACATTAACAATAAAAAAACCCAGTCATCTATTAAAATACATGAAGTCCAATAACTACCCAACAGTGTTCACCTTAATTAGAAAATAAACGGAAGGTCAAGACTATACAACGCCCACGCTATTATAAAAATAGTTATCAAAACGAGCAAACATATAAATATTGTCAAGGGGCCAAAAGTAGAAAGAAATCAATGCGGAAATTGGCACCGACCTTACAATAGCAATGGCAAGCATACCACTTGCTACAATCCTAAAATAGAAGACTCATGATAAACAAGAACTCAATAATGTCACTCGATTTCAGACGGCCCTGTGAAAAAACTAATTTTAATACTTTTAATTTGTTAGAAAAAAAGCCCATAAAAATACACTGTAATAAAGAAAAATCAAAATACATACTGATCCAGATCAAGCGGCGCTAGTAGTAAGCGGCAGCCACTTTTTCTTCCGTATTGAGGTATCTACAATACCGACCGAGTACGTCAATGTTTTCCAATATCGCGACAGTCACGCAGTTGTAAACGCATCGCGGTGGCGTATCGTCGCTTTCAAAGCCACACCGTCTGTTACAGTCAGTTCATTCTAGTTGATTCGTGCCGCGAGTGTGTCTCGAGGACGGGTGAGAAAAATCGTTTTCACCGAGCGTCAAGACGACGTTAAAATTCGAAGGAACGTAAAAAACCGTGTTAGAAAATCATTCGATCTTGATCGTGCCTGATAAAGTAAAACGGAAATTCCCATAAGGATGGGTATCAAATCCATGAGGGTCGTGCTTTGCTGATTCCGTGAGAACGTCGCGAAATGCGCCTGAGTCGTCGCCGGTGTCGTTAGAAAAAAATATTTTAAAAAATCAGCGACAAGCGCCACGTTATAAATAAAACTCCCTGGCGACTAGAAATTTTTGGCAGTGCTGCTAAACATCCCAACGACCAGAGACAATTCACGTACGTGACGCGACGCGTCGCGTCCGTTATATATTTTTTTCGACTTGTGTAAAAGTGCATGAAGAAGAGTGATCGTCGAGAGCGTTGACGAATCTGTGAGGAATTGTGACAACACGTTCGATTGGAAGCCACGAATTCGAGCTTGGTATTACAAATTGGAAGAGAGGTTAAGGAACTGCTGTCAGCGATACCAATAAGAAGTAACTACGGTAAGGCACTTTTTTTTTTCTTACCTTTGAAAGTTCACTCGAATATCACGTCATGCGAATATTACGGATATATTGTCTGTCTCTGCAGTGTAATTACGAGGGCTATTGTTTTGCAAGACTATCGTTTGGTATTTGTTAGACCCAATTCAAATACCTTCGTTGTAGACCACGAATGTCAGAAACGTCTTGGCGACTGTCAGGAGACTTTACGGCGACGATTTCGCTCGCCAAGATTGACTTGTCGCATCCGCATCGCGTCTCACCTTGAAAATTCCCTATTGAGAGACACTGCGTCGATTTCTTACGTGTATTTCATGTATTTGATTGTAACAACTGTTTTTGGCATTTTATAGACATCTTTTTTGAAACGTTAAATGTCTGCTGCACGCTAAAGTGTTGTCATTCCTTCTTGACAGAGTTAACCATACATCATAAGTTATTATTTTGTATCCAACAATCTCACGTGTCGCGCGATCCAATTGTAATCTATAAAAACATATAAATAAGAATTTCCATAAAGTTTCGATGTACTTATGCAATCTCCATATGGCATTAGTCCACAGAACATAATATATTAAGAAAAAATTATGCATGTCACAATTTTTTATACGCAATCGACTGTAGATTATTGTACGTAATTATCTTTGATATTTGTACAATAAGAGAAGGTGGAACGCTCAATGGTACAATGGAAACTGTCAGATACGTTAAGATATTTGGCCTGATTTGTGCAACAGCATAAGCTGCAGCTGCTGTTGCGCAATCGTGTGAAATTATACAATTTTTGGTTGGGTCGGTAATACAGCAATTTTAAGATACAATATCGTACACGTCGCTGAAATGAAATTTAAACTGTCTAGTCGGACTAAACTAATTCCACGTTATAACTGTATTTTCTCGCGTTAATTATTTGACACGTACCTGTAACCTGTAATCTCAATTAAAGACGTATATTTATCATCCACTATGCCTATACGAAGGCTCTGCTCGTTCTCTTACGTGGCTCTAGAAATTGTCCGGACGATCGATGTGGCGTAGAACTGTCGTATTTGATACACATCGTTTACTGCCTACAATACCTGTTCAATATATCACAACTGTTTCTCATGCTGAGTGTAATTGTTTCTTTTTATAATTCACTGTGCACCCTCCCTTTTTTCAATCAATTGCCACTTTTTAAAATCATTTATCAACTGCCACGTCCCATAACGTAAAACATGGTTTATGGTGAAAAAAAAAGGTTTGACAGGTTCCTAGCTGTCAGAATAATAAATAAATAAATCAGCACGCTGACGATCCAATCATTATTGTCATTTTGTAATTAGGAGAATCAATTTCAGGCCTAATTCAATTGTTCGACATTGATGCTTTTAATTATTAATTTATCAGTGATATCACTGCACGCGCAGTACCGAGGAATTCGATTGATACCATTTCTTGTACGAATGTTGATCTTACAAAAAATCCATATTCTAACTTTGTTAATATTTACCTTATCTGTTTACAGAAAATTATTAAGCTGCACGCAGGCGTGTGGAGTGCCCGAAGCGGGAAATCGCTTCGTCCGACATAAGTAAACGAAGGAAGGAGTGGTATTAATAATCGAAAGGTGTGACGTAAATTTGCCAAAATTGAGCGGAATATGCCGATGGTCTTTCTGGACCGCTTGCCGGTCCCGAGTATACGTGTTTACACCACGATAAGCATTGCCATCTTATCGTGTTCGGTGTACTATGCCGCGCAAATCGTCAAAGATCCTGCCTGGCGTACTAATCAAACGGAAATCGCCGTCGGTGACGGCAACAACGTCACGGGAAATGGCATCGCAAACGACTCCAGGACGATCGGCGTCCATCTTGAAGAACTTCTGGCCTGTATGGTACAGGAACCAGGATGCATTTGGGTGAGATTATAATTTCAATTTTTAGTATCACTCAACAATGATTAACCCCCTGACCGAAGTCGTAGACGTCAATTTGAATTTCAAAGCGAAGGAAATATTTAAAATCCAGCATGAATCTCACGTTTTCTATACAATTTTGCTTTACGTTGCTTTAAAAGTCATGACTTGTGCTGTACTTGGTAAGACATTAGTTTAATATTATAACGACAGTTATTTCTAATTCAACCATTACAACCGACCATTGTTATCCAAATTTAGTTAAAAATAAACGCGGACTCGGTCAGGGGTTAATTAACAGTCGAAAGTCATTGGACTTTTCTAAAAGATTACACGACAGTCTAAATCGGTGGAGGCTAATAATTTCACTGAACAATTTTACTCTTCCTACACAACCTTGCGATACACCAAAAACTCATCTTTATGTTCTGTCAACTGGATTTGATATATGACGTCACATATTGAATCATTGGCTCGCGCAATTCGCTTGGTGAACTTTCTTCCTTTTACATTTACAATAGTCGTAACTGTTAAAAAATAATTTTCTTATCGGTCGGCTCTTATCAATTCTATCGATCGTTTACTGATAACCTATATTTATATATACATAGGTTATCAGTGAGAAATCAATATAATTGATAAGAGCTGATCGATTAGAAAAAATATATATACTTTTAAAAAAAAATTTTTTTTCTTCCATCGCTCAACCACATTTCTCGCGTTTCTATTTTTTTTCTTTCGTTTTTAACGAAACGGTCGTTATTCTGACTTTACTTGCCGCGACACAGAACAAGGATTTGTCGCTGAAAAGATCGCATTATTTCCATTCGTCCCGAGACGTTGCGTCATGCGCAACAACCTCTGGGCTACGTAATGTCTCTTACGTCTTCCGCGCTCTATTCCACTTGCACTCGCGAAATATTCATGACACCGTGAAACTGTCGCTTATTATTTATTATCATTCCCGTTTACCTGGAATAGTTAAAATAATTTTTGTTCGTCCGAGCACTCCTTAACTGTTAAATTAACGCGAGTAAAATTTATACCCACCTTTTTTCAATGTTTATATTGAATAAATTTATCTTCTCATTTACCCTCGCTCGAGTGGCATTTCGCATTATAAAAAAATGTCAAATTCTCAAAAAAAAAGAAATTTGCCGAGATTTATCGGGAAAAACGATTTTCTTTTATTTCCCAGCACGGTACTATGCCTATCTGCAATATATACGTATATATAGTCAGACACGTAATGATGCATAACGAACCGGAATGCCGGTCTGCACTGCAGATATACACGAAATCGCATACTTTTTTTTTTTCAGTCCAAAATTTAGGCACCCAAATAATTAGCCGTTAAACCCTCGTTTTTATTTCGCGCGACTCCCGAAACTCCGGACTCCAGCCGAATCCAGTGCAATTAATTCCACTGATTGCTCAATGCCAACCAGATTGAATCATCGAAAGCCTATGCCATCGTGAACGGGCGTAGCCTTTGATAATTTTCGGCATCGGTTTTTATCCTGGAATCGAAAATAAAAAATGATAAGTTTTGTCAACGCAGCGAAAAATATATGAAAAATTATTAATCCTGTCAAAGTAAAAAATATTTTTTTAATTACCGATAGTCTCCCATACCAGTCAGTTGGGTATGTTGTATGTCAGTAATGAAATAATAATAATAATAGAAATGAAATTTTTACCGGTTCGTTAGTCAAAGTCGAAAATATTAAATTTTCGACGCTCGAAGCGCAGTGCTTCGCGTTTGCACGTGCGGCCCGTGCGCGCATGCGCACTGTTACTTTACGTATTGTGCGTTCACGTATAACGTGCAGCTGCGCCGATAAGTACCTTGGAAAATATGAAATTAAGAATAAGCAAGCCCCCGCAACCTAACCTGTACCAGCGGTAAGCAAATGCATGCACGCGAGACTCCAGTGTTGCAGCTGCGAGGTAACGGTGGGAACGTAATTCTTTTTTTTTTCTTTTCAGTATGAAAAAAAATAATAACCACAGTGGTTCCGTTCACAATGAGATGATGTTGCATAACGTCGCGCACAATTAATGCACCAGCAGCCACTTATGAATTTTCATGCACGCGTCCCACGGGCGAAGCGAAAAATCTGACACGTGTACGGGCCTTAATTTTGCGAAAAACCGGAAGTCACGTGCACTGCAATTTTACGCGGTTCTGCCGGCGGCCTTAATACTGTCTTCGATCATTGTTAGTCGAACTTTGCAACAATCGAACCTTCTTTTACGTCATCCGCAGCGCTGGTCTCTGTACGCCGTTAAATTGGACGTTCAAATTTGCCGCCTTTTTGCAGCTACCGTACACGTGCTTAATTCTGTACGTTTTATCGTACGCGTAGCTGAATACGACCTTGTAAATGATTATAATCATTTTTTTTTTTATAAAAATTTTTTCGTTCGGGTTTATATGAAAGTCAGGATTGCATTATGCAATAAATTGAAGTTATCAGTCAAATTGGATTTTTTGATAATTTTACGTCTGATTAAAAATTTTTTTTTTCATTTATTCGATCGCAACGATCGATAACGGTAGTAAATTTAATCGTATCGCTCGAATCAATGGAATTTCGTTTTTTTTTTGTTTTTTTTTCTTATCTTTTTTCTCGTATACGTTGTTCGTGGTATTTTGGGATTTCACGTAAATTGTTTTCTCGGACCTTTTTGTTTTCCTCGTACGACAAATGTGTTATTGGATCCACATTTATCATTCGTTATCTTCTTATTAGTCGCGTGTTAACACGTGCATATGTATATATAGATATATATGCGATACAGGCTGAATATTAAAATATTATTACGTAACGTCGGCTTACAATTAGACGCGACTATTAGAACGTTTTAATCGTGAAACTCTAATTATCATACATCGCGTATATGAATTTCGCGAATCGTCAGATTTTCATATTTTACGACGACGCGTTACTGCTTTATTCATTTATGGATAAAATATTCTAATGTCCTCTTATGCAATTGACGTGTTAATTAATACAAATTATTATATATCAACGGCTCGTTATCCCGTTAATTTATCGCGCGAAGGTCGCTCGCTGGAAATTCATTTCGTTGGTATACAATTTATTATGTTAACGAGCGTTGGGTATATTTTTTAATAAAAAAAAAATTTGTCGAAAAATGGAAAAACGAAATTCCAATCAATAGGAATCAGCGACCTACTTAACATTGATAATTGCGAATTGATTCGTTGATTGCGCCGAGGCGCGAAATATATAAAAATTGAGGGGCTAATTGGGCGATTGTTATTATTATACTGTACCTTGCGAATCCATTAAACTGTATAATTGGATGCGCTTGATTAATTTCTCTTACAGATACTATACGTTCATCGGGATCCATTGATCGCAAATTGGATTAATTATATGAGAATGACAAAAAAGAAAATAGGCAAAAAAGAGAGTATATTAAATTTACATAATTTATTGAAATAAAATCGATATTTTTTTTGGAATTCATACACGTTCGACCGGCGACTGAGAAGTGAGGTTTAAAAAAAAATCCAAATTTAACTTGATTCATTATCAATCGTACGTAAGCGCTTTGAGCTGTGTTAGAAAAAAATTTTTGAATTTTTTTTTTTTTTTTCCAAAATCATACCTCTACTTCCGGTCGATCGACGAAAGCCACGACTCCCGGCTCCACTGACTTTATCGGCCAATAAGTTCTGCTTAAGCACACGAGGGGTGAGGCTCTTACCGTTAAGTCGGCTACGAACGATTCCTAAGGCCGTCGTTATTGCAATCCTCGACTGATATATACGGGGTGTCGAGTAAGTCCGAAAATTTTTTATTTTTTTTTTTTTTTTCCAAAATCATACCTCTACTTCCGGTCGATCGACGAAAGCCACGACTCCCGGCTCCACTGACTTTATCGGCCAATAAGTTCTGCTTAAGCACACGAGGGGTGAGGCTCTTACCGTTAAGTCGGCTACGAACGATTCCTAAGGCCGTCGTTATTGCAATCCTCGACTGATATATACGGGGTGTCGAGTAAGTCCGCGAGTGCGTCGGGAAAGTGAAAATAATCCTTGAATACGTATAAGCAAGGCATGAAGGGACAGGGGGTAGACGTGACTGTAATAACTTTGCATTGATTAATAATAATAACAATAGTTGCACGAATTGGCACTGCAAGTTTACAAAGTCGCCACCCCGTTAGAACATACTTAAAATAATATATTCGCGTATATGTATATACATAATTTGTGGTACCGTAAGAACCTAAAATCAATATAAATATTTATCGGATTGACAATGATACACCTACTACCGGGTAAACCCAAATTTCCAAATCAAATTGCAGAATCCAACGTATGCCCGTAGATACGCCAATTATTTACGTCTTTCAACTCCCTCAAGCCTCGTTCACACGACGTACACTCAATCGAACGTTTCTTGTATACAGGGTGTCCCAAAATTACCAGACCAACGGGGTATGGCGGTGCTCGGGAGGCACCACTGATCACGAAAATGACCTTCCTTTTGTCCGGAAGGTCGTAGCTTTTAAATGGGAGCAGATCAAAGTTGACCAATCAGAGCGTGACGTCACGAGAAACGTAGGCACCTACGAACTCTGACTTATCTTCCCTCGCTTTTCTTTCTCGGTGGCTTGATTCTTCTTTCCAATAGGCATGTCTTCGGCTGACGTCATCCCGCCCGAAGCCACTGAAAAACAAAAGCGAGGGAAGAAAACTCAGAGTTCGTAGGTGTCTACGTTTCTCTTGACGCCTCCCTCTGATTGGTCAACTTTGACCTGCTCCCATTTAAAAACTATGACCTTCCGCACAAAAGGAAGGTCATTTTCGTGATCAGTGGTGCCTCCCGAACACCGCCATACCCCGTTGGTCAGGTAATTTTGGGACACCCTGTATAGGTGAAAGAAAAATGTTGTTATTGCAACTTCAATGCCCCCCATATACATACGTACATATATATATATATATATATATATATATATATATAAAACACCATAAATTTACTTGAATCTCCACGTCACCAGTTAATCATAAACGGACTAATGAATCTTTCATACGATTTGCTATCGACTCCGTGTAGCAACTGAGTGCACGATTACCCAGCGACAGGATTTTCCAAGCCTCCTGTACGTCGTCACGTACGCCATTAGAACGTATAAAGATAAGCGCGATAGATCAATAAGAATTTCCCATTGGCAATTAATGCCAACGTTAAATGCATCGAATAAAACCTGTTTCACCTTTTACAGACCCTCATCAACATGGCGTACTGCGTCCTTATTCTCCTGGGCAAGTCGATCCAAAAGCTGGTGTTCGGCGAGCTTCGCGTATCCGAGCGGCAGCACCTGAAGGACAAGTTTTGGAATTTCGTCTTCTACAAGTTCATATTCGTATTTGGCGTTCTGAACGTTCAGTACATGGACGAGGTGATCCTCTGGTGCGCCTGGTTCACGGCTCTGGGTTTTCTCAGTCTCCTGAGTCAGCTGTGCAAGGACCGTTTTGAATATGTGAGTACCCCCCTTATATCTTTCAAAAATTACATATGCATATACACATATACTTAGTCCTATCCATGGATAATTTTTTCCCAAAATTTTTATCCGATAAAAAAAAATATCAACACTCATTTGTACACGTTACACGGTATACCCAGTGTGTCAATTAGTAGATTAGCCTCAATTACAAATTAACGGGATCGATCAGCATTGCTACGTGACTGTCAGCACCGAATCCACCCTGCTTTTGAAACACCAGGTATAACAGTTACCTGTTGACACGATCGCGACTACAGACAAATCCGGTGGCGTTCGTATGTCGAAGGTGTCATTGCGCAATACGACCTTGGCATTGGGACGACTGGCATTGACGTTGATAAGGATTTATTAATGATAGCCCACGTGCTCGACGTATTTATAATTAATTCGATGCAATCGCTTCGATTTCGAGTTGGACCAATTTCACAAGGTCAAGGCCAACGACTCGACGTACGGGGTCAATTTAATCCGTGAATTATTACATTGTCCTCTCTCGCTCGAAGTATCGTAAATTATCATTGCATTGATTCGGCAAATCCACCCTGTCCCTGTCGGGACCTGGTACACTGATGCACCACGGGAACTTTGAGGTTATTGTCGCCCGGCGAATATCAAGATTCGCGAAACCCCGTTGACTCAATGCAATGAAGGTAACGGGGTTGCAGGTACGTAGGGAGGCTGACCTATCACGTACGCTTATGACACACGTTACGCGTATGCCATGGAAATGCACTATAGAGTTATACACGTGTATCGTGGTAAATGCTAATTTCATCTCGTAACCCCATTTTCTCATAACCCGAAATCGATCGTCGCCGGACACGTCACTTTCATCGATCCCTATAACTTTTAATCGTACCACCCGTTTGTTATCGTTATTTTATCGTCGCTGTAATATATCAATTGATCGTAGTTTTCGTTACTTGCGCACGCCATCTTTGATACCACGGCAAACGGTACGTAAGTAAGTCTTACGTGCCGTAGCTCCGACTCGCCTACATAGAAAGGCTCCTTTTATCCTTTAATACGTCATACGGACGTTTTTCGACTGTCCTCGTACACGTGTCCGATAGATCGAACCGAATCGATTGATTTTTTACACTCGTAAGATTGTACTCGGGATACTCGTAGTATGTGTATATAGCATATGTAGATGCAGTGCCTTTCAAAAATAGTCATCGATATACTGTCTGCGATGTCGTTATTATTTTTTGTGAAATTATTTGAAAAATTAAAAAAAAAAATTTTTTGAATTTTATTAACAATTTTACGTTAACGATCGTTTGAGATAAGAGAGCGCGATCGGCAGTGTCGATTTTACTGGTCAAGTGCCGAGTGGTTGGATGATTTTACGTTAACGATCGTTTGAGATAAGAGAGCGCGATCGGCAGTGTCGATTTTACTGGTCAAGTGCCGAGTGGTTGGATGATTGGGATTTTGAAAAAAAAAAAAAATTTTTTTTTTTTTTTTTTTTTTGATTACAGCTATCATTCTCGCCCACCACACCGGGATGGAGTCACGCTCGTCTTCTTGGGCTTCTGGCGGCTATCCTGGCGCTGTCCTTGTTCATGCTGCTCCTGTGCGCCGCTGCGGCCTTCTTTTTCGTGTCCTTCAATACTTTCGCGTTCATGGCGGCCGAGGTGAGCTTTTCTTTATTATTATTTGCTGTTGTTATTATCTAACCTCATTTCGATTAAAGTACAGATGTTCGTCATCGAGGCTGGCACGACGGGTCGGTTCTAGACGTTACGCGACCGTCACTCGTTACCTTACTTTGGTCTTGTTACGCGAGAAATTATTTATTTTTTTTTTTTGACGGCGACCCTGAATCTTAATCGCGCGATGGAAATTCACCTTGTCGTCCTTCGTCGTTAAACTTCAACGTTTACGAGTTTGGTGTACACCAATTTTTTTTTCCTTTTTTTTTTTTTTCTTAATCTCGAATTCGAGGTCTTGGCAAATTAGGGATCGAGTGGCGGCTGCGTGTCATTCATGTTTTTATTATACGTTCGGATTGTTTTTTTTTTCGATTTCTTTTTTTTTTTTTTCGTTGCGCGTGGTCACGCTTAGTTTGTATACATATGTATGGTTGTGTCAATTTTCGTTATAACGTTTAAAGCTGCTTTAATGTCTGCCGTAACGGTATTTCGTTTACGGGTCGGCGAACACGGAACCCCTACTTCCGGTCATCGTGCCAAGGATAAGTTAGATCTTTCTTTGTTTATTTTTTTTTTCGATTTTGTCGTGTTCGAAATTCAGAGGCGCGGTTCCAATTTTTTTTTTTTTTTTTCAAAAATCCTTCGCGATATTATTCTGGCTAAGTCATTTCGGGATCTCGATCGGAGCCGTAGATGTCGTATCCAGCTGGGTTTGGTTATTGCGAAAACTGTAATGGCGATAATGAGTAATTTGTGAAAAAAAAAGAAAAAAAAAATTTCGTACACTATCGATTTCTTTCGGTGAAATTTTGTATCGAAATCCGATTCGATTCGGTTTACCAGTCGCGTTTTACTGCACGCTTTTGCAACAGGGAGCTGGGACAATGATTTTTCATTTGGGAATACCTAAACGGGCGGTGAGCGGGAATTTCGAAAATTTGACAAATTTTAAGTGCTTGTCGCTGTACGGTAAGATTTTGAAAATTTAATCTGTCTTTTGACGCC